AGCTGCGGTGTGAGATATATACCCAGATATTTTGGCCTTATGATCGATGCATATTAGCCAAGGAGACCATTATTTTGTGTATTCATTTGGGGGGGGGGATCGAGAAAAAAAAGTCAAAGAGGACGGTGGAATCGAACCCACGACCGCGGGGTCTATGAGCCGAGAGTCTCTCAAGCTAACCACTTGGATACCGCGGCCCCACCCTGAATATTTAGCTCGTAAAATGAAAAATTACCATTCGTCACCTGACAAAAATAAGAACTTTTTCATAATTTTAAGGTTTAAAAAAACAATATAAATCACTCGCTATGTATGAATAACAACATTGCATGCAGAGAAAAGTTGCTCGATGTGTCCCACATAATTGTGTCCAGCCTTGGCTCCATACAGAAAGCGAGTAGGCATGTCGCCGGATTTAAGAATGGTTCTCGGACACGGTAGCGAGTTTCAGTCCTCTGTTTTGCTTTTTAGTGGAACGGTTTTTTTTAAATTATATACAGCCTTCAAAGTATGTGTTTTGTGTTTCTGAGTTTTGTGTGAGTGAGTGTATTTATTAGAGTAAATGGGGAGGGGCTGATGGTGAAATAGCATCCCCATAGCCACTCGAGCTGTGTACGTGACTTGGGTTGATAGTGGAATATTTATAAAAGTATCCCATCGAACCCAATCAGATTAATTAAACCATATAAACCCTTAGGGTGCCGGTGTTTAACATAAACAAATTGTTATATTTAAATAGTAAATAAAAGATAATTATAATATAAATTTTATTAAAACTTCTGAAATTTCAAAAAATCTGAGCCCTCAACTATTACTTTTACTGCTGGGAAGGCTCCAAAAATACATTTAATAATAACATCCAACTAAAAAATAATCGGATTTAACTTATTCAATTCACTAATTTCGTGGTCCGCTTGACCAGTTAATTATCTTACAATTAATTAAGGTTTTCACTTGAGATAAAAAAGTCAATGGCACGAGCGGGATTCGAACCCACGATCTTCGGCTTGATACGCCGCTGCTCTACCACTTGAGCTATCGTGACCTCGNAAAACCTCTGGGATCTTGTTTTCGGTTTTCCGAATTCAGGGTTGGGGTTAGCGTTAGAGTATTTAAAATATTTGTCAAAAAAAGTCATTATATGGTTTTCGAATCAAAACGTGTTACACGTCGAAAATCATTGAACTTTAGATTTATGACCAATGTTAAACAGTTTATACCAATCGGACGTAAATAATCCGTTTATTAGAGGGCTAAAATTATATTGCCTGTTGAGGGGCTATAAATATTATGTATTATCGCATGAAATCACTGAATATTTTGACTTTGATGGAACTTAACCTTATTTGTCTTATGATAATCTAAACTAATTTTTCTTTTACTAATCTTAACTTCTGGAATTTGGCTTAATTATTCTTATTTAAAAAAAATATTTCATTTGAATTTTGTTTATTAATTAAAAAAAAATTGAAATATTAACAAAAGACGGCCGGTTTTATCTCCTGGGTGGTTTTGCGCTTTTACTCACATCGTAAAGTGATTGAAATCTTGGCCCTTTAAGTCTGCCGATGAGTTCGACGTCGGAAGATCGAGCAGATTTCGGATCGAGTTCAGTCCCTTCGGAATATTCGTCGTAATAAGGGCTTCCACTGTTGCTTTCGTAGTGGTATCCGGTGTAAGTCGGTTTCTCTTCGACGTCGTAGCCGAAGGAAGTCTCGTAGTTGCCGTTCAGATCGTCGCTTCCGTCTATCCTTCCATAGCTAGAATGTGACTGGTATCCGTAGTCGTCCTTGTCTTTCTTGTTGAATTTGTCTCCTAGATTGTAACCCCTGTTGCCTTTGCTAGTGTGTGAGAAGAAAAAGCCGTCTACGTCGCCGTATTCGTCAGAGGAGAATTTACCCTTCGCCTCGGACAGGCCGACGGTGAACACTAGAAACAGACAAGTCGAGAGTCTAGGCATATCTGCTCCTCGGGCCACAACGCTCACCGTTTATACTCCGTGACACGCTCTATTTGTCGGTCCGAGGAGACAATTAAAAAAAACCTCAAAAATTGCGTCATCTTGATGTAACTACCCCGAACCGCCTAATGGTCGGTCACAGTTTAACTTTATCCTCGTCCACAACGTTGGAAAGTGACGATGAACAATCGGGACCGTTCGTATTCTACTTTCCCTCTGATGACAACAATGCTTTACTTCCAGAGAAAATACGTAAGAATACAGATCGTGACTTTTATATCGCCTGATGAAGATTTAAGACCGGCTTTTCCTCTCTCGCCACGAACAGGTCGATAAGAGCGGAATTATTTGACATCGGACATCATTACTAGGTTAGTTAATTTTCACTCATTCCCCCATTTGTTATTTTCAGAGTTGGGCAAAATCTAACTAATTCAATCATGATTAAGAATTTTGATTGAAGTTTAATCATGATTGAATTATTCATGAGTAAATTAATCATTATATGATTTTTTTTTTTTAATTGGCCTTATGATCTTGCATATTAGCCATAGTACGAATTCTTGTGTGTTCAAATTGGGGGTTATCGGGAAAAAAGGGCCAGAGGCGACGGTGGGAATCGAACCCACGACCGCGGCGTGAGAGTCTCTCATGCTAACCACTCGGCTACCGCGAACCAGCCCTAGTCACTCTGGGAAAGGTTTCGTGGTGGTGCATGGTGACGCCCCTGGCGGGAACTTAGACAGAGGCTGTCTTCTATTTGTGACCTTCGTGAAGCTTGCCTATGGCCAACGTAGTACCCTCCCCCGGCCTCACGGGAGACGTTGCGACCGGACGACAGCATGTAAGTGTTGAGGACGTAATGATCATGCTACAGTCCCTCGAATGCGTAAGTAAGCGGATGGAAGTGGGTAGTGAGTCGGCGTCTTAGACTCGAGTATGCTTTACATTGTTGCGCGTATGACCGGCGGGGTACCCTTGGGGAAGCGAAGGATCGGATACCGTAGACAGTACTCATCTAGGGGGTGGGTAGCACTTCCACTTTAAACTAAAACCGCTGCCGGGGCGTTCCCGGAAGTTTCTACGCTAGGGGAGCCTCTATACTCATAGATATAGAGTGGCCTTCTCTATCTAGGGAGTACGCGAGGGGGTACGGGCTGATGTATTTCGGCCCGTTAGCCCCTCGCGTGCGGCATACGACCCGATGCACAAAGCGGGCCATTAGGAGTGGACAAGTGGAGAGCGTGGTTGTACCGGCCCTTAGGGGCTGGGAAACCTCTACACCAATGCTGCGGCGGTAACACCATTCCAACGTATGCGGAAGTGCGTCAGCTCTCATCTTGAGAATCAAAACGTCCGGTAAGGCCGAACAGGCTAGGTGCGGACGTTAAAGATCCTCTGTCTTGTTGACGTTGAGTACTCGGGGTAACACAAATGTTCCAAAATTCAGCCCCTCTTAACGGGCAGAAATGTCCCAGTATTCCACCCCACTTATAACCATACATCTCACGGTTCATACAAAAAAGAACCTATTAGGCATGTTCAAAAGGCAATAAGACGAAATCCCTGACATTTTTCTTCTTTATCTTTTAAATCATTATTGATGATTAATTTCAAAATTAATTTATTTAACAAAAATTTGACTTTTCTTTTCCGTCTAATAATAACCAATCTAATAAAATAAATAAAGAGTTGAGATTATTGACAGTCATAATTTTCTATCTAGTTCTTGGCTTTTTGGCCACTAATCTTCTATGATGTATTTTGACGGAGTGATCATAATAGTAAATGGTGTCGGTAGACGAGACCATTAAAGTGACCGATGCCACAATATTTTGGTGATAACGTTTGCCGTTTTGATTTAAGTATTTTTTAAAATCTTAACACTATTAAACCTCTTCAAGATTCTTCAGCAAGAATGGTTCATTAGGAAAGTTAAAAAAGGTTTAAAAGGCTTTCCTTCTCTGACACATACGAAAAGCGAATACCTTGCTAAATGCCATGAATAAAATAAAACATGGCTGCCATCTTTGAAAGATGACTCTATTTCTTCAGGCTGGTGGTTTAACTGCGAAAGAAAAAAAATACGGATCTAATCCGAATAAAAGCGGTTTTCGACGATATTAAAAAGCCTTCTTTTGAGTTTTATTCAATGGCAAATAGTCTTAACCTCTCCATAATAGAAAAAGGATCATATTTGCATTGTTTTGCGATTAACGGATTATATTCTTCGTGAAGGTTCAAAATACTCGTTGTTTGATTTTTGATGATTTCTTCTCCCTTTTTTGTTTGGAGTGGATTCCCCTCTTGGGCAACTAAGATAAACTACTGATGGGATTTTGTTACAATTAGACCCAAGCTAGATCATTAGCTGGAAGGGATTTGTGGCGCTATCTTCGGTCCAGCCTCAATGAGGACACATTGTCGAAGGGAGATCCTCAATTAGGATAGTTATTAAATGTTTTGACGGCCAACTCAGGCTTTACTCTATCATCACAGAAAAGTACGAGCTGCTGGAAATGTAAGAAACGTTTCTTTGTTCTTTAAATTATAATTCAACCCTCTTATACAAATAATTTCAACTATACGATAGTTTGCATGGGGAACAACACCGAGTAACTTCAAGATGGTATGAAAAATTTATAAACAAAATGTAAATCTAAAGTAAAGTTGTCATCGACAGCTGCAAAAGTACTCTGCGCACAATTTCGTCTGGACTTTTTAATAAGCCAAAGCTCTTCTTGTTTGGAAAAAAGGTCAATTGTTTTCAGAATTATATTCAGCTTATGTTGAGATGGACGAATTGTTCTAGCCTTATAGAAAATAATTAAAACAGTCCTTTTTTAGAACTTTCATTTATTGAAATCTTAAGAATTCACTCAGAGTTGAATGGGAGTATAAAAGAGGACGATATTAGATTTAAAAATATTTGTGCTGCAATGAAATTAATAACGACCGGGCAATGCGAAATTCTTACAAATTAATTTTCTCCAATATGAAATTCTTTCATATTGAATTGTTTTCAAAATAATGTCACATGTTGAACATAAGAAAGTCACTTTATCACAAATGGACACACGTTTCAAAATTTAATCAAGTAAAAAGACTTTTCGTCATCGTAACATAAAAAAATTGCCGGCCCCATAAAATCAACATAATAAGCTTTTTTTCAAAATCACATTCAAAAAGAGCGCAGCGGTACAGGCGACAGTTCGACATAGTTTAAACAATAAACAGATGCTCAATTTTAATAATGCTGCACACTGAAATACATCTGTTACAAACCATTCCACTTTTGGCAAGGCAATCACACGTTAGCACGCTTCAACACGACCGAAACGGGATGGCAGAGAACGTAAGCAGATTCGGCTTTACAGAAATGATGAACGTCCTCAGGGACGCGGTCCGTCAGACCCGAGAACCTTCCTCCTGCCTCAACGCCCACGAGGTCTCCAAGTACATCCAGAGCCGGTACGGGTTCAACAAGAATAGCACGACTGGTTTGAAAATCCAGACGATCTCACACATCGACCAGCTAGACCACCAGAAAAAATCTATAAGGTCCATGTCGACAAGCACTTGGAAGGAAACAAGCAAGGAGCACATGAACAACCGGGCCAAGTCTCTGCCGAGGGGGCATCTTTCAAATACTCCGAAAAACGACGCAAGGAAAACGGTATCGTTAAAATAACACCTGTCCTACTATTTATTTCCAAAAATGGCCTTATATTTTTCAAAACACAGTTCGTTCAAATTTGCTATAGAAAAGGTGAAAACCATTCCCACCTACCAGTTTCCATAAATAGGTCAGACATTACGGCCTTATTCATTAAGCGATATTCAAATTGCTATTTTTATCATTCCGCTAAATCAAGGCAGACAGGTTTGAGTACTACGTGCTTTATCAATGTTTTACACAGAAAATCACTTATTTTTCTCTATTTAAATCGCCTTTCCTTTCAAGCTTTTGAATTGTATTTATACTACTATTTTACGAATGTACGAATGTAGGTGTCTACACCCTACTCTAGAAAGTTGGTCAGAAGGCGCGTTGTGCTTATTTTTATTATTTATTTTAACGAGGGTTCGCAACAGCAGAGGTCATATAAACCCTCAGGGTGCCGGTGTTTTCGAAAAAAAGCCCATTTGTAAGAATGTCGGGCCGCTGGATTCGAACCCGGGACCTTTACCTTAGAACGATGAGCGCCGTGTCAACGCCTAAACCGTTGCGGCCATCGACGCCCCGAATTGTGCTTATTTTATTTTCTATTGATCAAATTTTCAGGTTTAGAAGTTTTTCTGTTCTGTTTTCTAGAAATACTTAATGGTTTTTATTGAAATGAATTACAGTTCACTTCTTTCCAAATTATTATTTTTTTTTAGCAAATTGAAAAGCTTGAACTTTTCAGATTAATTTTTATAAGTGAGGAAGTTAGAGAACAATATATATATTATTATTAGGCGATCGTGAGATGCGGTCTGGTGTGACGTAGGCTTTAGAAAAACATTTGCTTTATCGTGCCAACGTTTCGATCTTTATTGGGATCATCTTCAGGCTCAAAGTGTTTGTTTACTGAATAGATGTGCCATTTTGTCGCGTTGAGAATGTATTGAGATTAATTTGATTGAATTAAAAAAAAAAGATAATTCGTGTATTTAAGTCATTGATGTTTTTTGTTTTAGGTGAGTGGTACGCTCTTGCCTGAATCGCCCTACGATTACTACGTAGGCGATGACAATTCAACGGATAACCTCACGACGACAAATGTGACGTCGGAACAGGACACCAAATGGACTTATAAGAACGCTCTCAAAATGAAAGAGCATCAGAAAGAGGACGAATTCAAGGAGCGCAACCTGAGGAAGCAGGCCAAGAGATTAATTGCTAACGTAGCTAGGAGCTAACGCTGGTGTCGACAATCGACTAATGCCCTATTCCCACAGGTGAGCGGGTCGTTGATTCCGGAGAAGTCTACCAATGATTTTTTCACCAAGGACGAGAAGGTGCAGAAACTCGCCTCCCTCGGGTTGAGCAGGTCGATTGACTCTGAAAACTGGTATCCGAACAGGGGCACTTTGACGGACCGTTTTTACCGCAGAGAGCAGGAAGTCAAAGAGTCCAATCTGAGAAAAGAGACTAAAGCGCTCGAGGGGAAAAAAGCCTCAGTAATTATCTATATATTGAATTTGATTTATATGAAATTGGCTTTAACCTTCTTTTTGACAGGGACTATCGAGGAAGGGATTCGTCTATTCTAGGTTGTCGTCGAAACAACACGCCATGAAACAAGTCGCCTCTGCCAAACCGAAAAAACAGGGCAAGCTGGCAACTCAGATGGTATCTCTAGGGCTGAAAGCGGAGCCGGAACCGAAGACTTGGTTGCAGATCAAGGCCCTCCAGGATAAGAATAAAAACAAGAACAAACCGTTCAACGAACCATTTCCTACCAAGTGCGAGACTATGGTGCGTAGGACGAAGGAGGCGCGGGCGAGGCTCATCGAAGACCTCAAACTCGCCGAACAGCGCAAGCAGATTGAAGTGCTCAGGGTGATGGCTAAAGAAACCCTCAATAAACACTTGGAAAAACTCAAAGAGCAGAAAAGAGCATCGTACTACGTCTGAAGTGTTGTCCGTCCATGTCCGTAGTTTTTGGTCAGAGTCCCTGAAGAACTGGATTTCACAGAACAGTAACAACAGAAACAACCGTTCACAAATATTGTGAGAAAATAAATAGAAGTTGAAAGTTATTGTTTATATTGCACGTGCTAGTAGTACCGTCTCGCTCGAACAAACGAAAATCCACCCCGTTTCTGTTTGAGTTTTCGAGTTTGCCCCGGGCTAACGACTCCGGCTCCTTGAGGATGTAGGATTAACCCCAGATCAAACAGCGACGCCAATTCATTAATTGGATATTGCCCTCTTTGTCGCAGAAACTCGCAATTAACTGGGCCCAACTCCTCGGAGATGATGAAAAAGTGTTTATCTTCCCTCGTGAACACAGCTAATTAAATATCTCAACGCTTTGATAATAACCAATTAAAAGCATAAACCATCAAAACAAAAATACTATGAAGTGTCGGTTGGTTCAGATTTTATCGGTTTTGGGAGTTAACTTTTCCGCATTGGCCACGAGCTAAATTAAGCTTTGGCTTTATTTCCTTAAATTGTATTTGAATACATATAAGTTTAAAAGTTTAAAATTAAAGAGCTTAGCTGAAAGTAAACTTTTAACTTATATTTCGCTCTTAACTCATGGTTTTTTTCACAACAGTGGAAATTACTAGTGACTTCGTCGCAATGACCAACTGGTTACAAATGCCACGATGCCCTGTTACTTTCTTAAAATGATGTCAAGAAGTAATGTTTATTAATGCACTCAAGAATACGAAACTAGCGAGACTAGGCGGACCCAATACGAGATCGTCCGATCACTGACCAACCCACACCTGGTTGGCGGCGGATCCTTTCTTACAGTGTGAACCAGGTTTAACCACGCGTACTGATTCTTTATATTTAATGACTTTTTCATGCGCAAAAAATGAAAACGGGAGTTTTTGCCAGTGTTTTTACAACGACCGGTGGTCGAACCATCGGACGGATTGAACCGTTAATCCTATTTTGATATACAGAGCGGTAGAACAGCTTAAAGAACAAAACAAAACATAAACTTCCAATATTAGAGATAATAAGAAAAATAAACTGATAGCAGTTGCTATATCAACATCTAATTCGAAAAATTATATCACGAAGTAGGTGATATTATTTTAATGATTATATAATAAACAAAGACATCTTAACAGCTGAACATAAATAATGAAAAGGAATCGAATCATCCCACGACAAAGAATAGAAAAATTCTGTATCTTAGAACTGACTGTTAAAGAGGGTCAAAATAAGCTTACAAGTTTTTTTTGGCGAGGGTTCGCAACAGCAAAGGTCATATAAATCCTCAGGGTGCCGGAAAGAAAGCCCATTTGTAAATATGTCGGGTTCAAATGCAGGGCCGCTGGATTCGAGCCCAGGACCTTTACCTTCCAGTGATGAGCGCCGTGTCAACCGTTGCGGCCACCGACGCCCCTACAAGTATTCATATGGTATGGTGATAAGGATACTAGGAAGCAGGGTTTGTACTTCTCAGGCACTGCAGCCTTTTGGCTTATTGTACCTTCCTAGTTCCTTAGTTCAGTGCAATAGACTCAATCCTTCTCCTTAGAAGTATCAGGTCATTGACTGTCACTGCTACAATTTCATTCCCTAAGTTTCTTTCGTACGTTAGGTTGAATCCCCATTGAGCTGTTGCTTCGGATTCGAAGATGATATGGGTGGTTGTTTCTTCCTCCTCATTACATAATTTGCAGATGGGATCATCTTTGTATATGCCCATGTTGTGTGTTTACTCAGATGCCAGTGACCAGTTAGTTTAGTCCTTTCCAATTACAGCAGTGATTTTGCCAGTCTTGGTGAGGGTTGTTTCATCATAAATTTACTATGTCTAGCATCGCTAGAGTTTGTAGTGTATGAGAGACAATTAGTTTTAGTTTAATTTAAAGTTGTAGAAAAAGTGTATAGACTGGGAGGGAAGAAATGTGAGACAGACGGATCCGATTTCGCGCGGCGGACGTTGAGTAAGTCTTGTTCGAACGCTGGGAAGAAGATGATCGCGGTCGTCTTGCTGATATTGGGTGAATGTCTTGTGTTTTGTCCCTCTCTGGCTGAGTAGTTTAGGCAATCCTGTCTTCGTAGAATAGTTTGGGGAATTGTAACACCTGTAAATAGGAACCCAAGCCTTTGCTGTAATTCTGGAACTTGCACTTGATAGGAAGCCCCCGTATACCATTATTGTATAATAGACAAGAAACAAAATTCATTTATGTAATTTCTTTAAGGATAAGAAAATGTTAGTATGGTAAGGAGAAGTTAATTGTTTTCCAAGGGCCAACCTAACAGAGTTTATCCACTTCTCCTTTTGTTTTGTTTGGATCCATTCTGCGATGGAGGATTCTAAATTTGTTTTTGTTATCCCAAGAATAGGTTCGGAGCCTATGTATGGTCTTGCAGATCCTCCTCTGGCCAGACTGTCTGCTTTCTCGTTACCCAAAATTCCCCTGTGCCCTGGCACCCAAGATATCATCAGGTTGTTGTGTTTACCCAGGTTATGGAAATTTTGGATGCATACACTGTCTAATTTTGATGTTATTCTTTTACATGCTAATGCTTTAATGGCTGCTTGGTTATCAGATCTTATGAGGATTTTATTGTAACCTTTTTTAAGACTTTCCAGGGCACAAGCTTTGATGGCATGTATTTCCTCTCCAGTTGCAGCAGTGATTTTGCCATTCTTGGTGAGGGTTAAGTATTCATACACTAAAAATTACTATGACACTAAGATGATTTAATTATATGAATAATGATTAAATTCACTAGTTTTCGTGGTCCGCTTGGCCAATTAATGTCTTTCAATTAATTAAGGTTTTTCGTTGAGATAAAACAGTCAGTGTCATGAGCGGGATTCGAACCCACGATCTTCGGCTAGATATGCCGTTGCTCAACCACTTGAGCTAACGTGACCTAGCTCAAGTGGTTGAGCAACGGCGTAACTAGCCGAAGATTGTGGGTTCGAATCCCGCTCGTGACAGTGACTTTTTAATCTCAAAGAAAAACCTTAATTGAAAGGTATTAATGAATAAAAGAAAAATCACTTCTCGGATGTTGCGCAAATTATGAATTTTTGGATGTTCTTATGTACAAGGTCTTTTATTCTTCTAACTTCTTGTTTATAAGAAAGAGAGAATCAGTGCTAACCTCTTGTGAAACACAACTTATCAATGAATATTTACATTCACCAATTCCAATATCCCTCCCTCCAAAAGCTTTTTCACCTTCTGACGTTCATTCTACCATACAACACCTAAAATCCAAGAAAGCTCCAGGTTTTGATCTTATTACTNCAGAAACCTCGCATCCCGACGAATCCCCTCAAACCCTCCCCGCCGACTGAAGAGACAATGGCCGCGAGATCTCCTAGGAAGTGATGGTGATGACAGTAATACCAATGGGTGTTTTCTCCACTCTTGGTTTTAATTTTGTCTTGTTTTAATTACCTTGCTCACTCTTACTTATTACCTACTTTAAGGTAGTTGTAATGTACAAATTATTTAAAAAAACTATTATTTCCATACTTTTCTGTAAAATATTAAAACAACCAAGTTGTACCTTCGTAGATGTTTTTTTTTAAAATTTTGGGTTGATCTTATTTTGTTCTTCTTCTCTCACCTACCCAGAAGTTATTTGTTTTAATAGAATTGAACAGCTGGTTTTTAATCTACACATTTTGAGAAAACTGTCCGTAATTGTGGGTGAAAAATCGACCGGAACGAAGCATGACCGGTGCGGCGTGGTCGGGGTTGCAACTGCATTCGTGGTTATCCCCATGAGGCGTTATCCAGCAGGTAGTATCGAGCGATGGACGAATCAATGTGTTTACAATCTACTTTCACCCGAGGGCCGAGTTGAACAAACATTCTTGCTCCTCCCGAATCGAATTACTACACGGATTGCGTTTACGGAACGATTCGTTCTTTTGTCAAAACCGCCCCTATCCAATTTTACAACCCCTGTCCTGTTCGATAACGCGTTATGATAGGTATACGGCGGCAAACTGCCTAACTTTTATTTTTGGATTGGTCTTCTTGTTCCTCTGAAAATAACAAGCATTAGAGACCATTTCAAAAGAAATAAGACTACGAATCTCTTAATAATTTCTCTCGATTTTAACCACACAAGAATTCGCATATCATCCGAACAGAGAGAAAAATCGGACCAAAATGATCATGTAAGATAACAAAAACGCAATGACATATGAAGCACATATTTGCAATAATAAATAATCAACCGAGCATTATCTCGTTTCCTTCTTCGTCGGAATCACACAGTGAGTCGATTTGCATTGACAGGAAACGGATCGAAGTCCTGTTGCTCGTCCCGGGGGCGGAAATAAGCCCTCCTCGGATATCGGAGGCGTCGGAAGGGCGATAAGAGTGCATGTTGTCATTAAAATGTAAAGCAGGAGGATCCTGAGAGAGAGATCTGATTGAAGGGACCACCTTCATTATAATATGACTCAGGTCCTGTGTCAATACGCGTTTAAAAAACCATTTTCCACTTAGAAACCCAGGGGAGGCGAACCCTCGCACCCCAGTTCCATTTGAAAGCTTAACTTTCAAATCTTTTGATGGTTCACCACAAAAAAATATATTAAAAAAATAATAATAATAATAAATGTTTACAAAACAAAAATACCCCCACCTCTTTTTTGGACCATCTTTAACCAACAACCTCCTTCAACAACTACAAGAGACGGCCATCAAGTTTGTAGCCTTTGTTGATGACATGGTTATAATAATACCAGGCAATAGAGAATACCTTTGCAAAATTAAGCAGGATAGCCAAATCAACATGGGGACTCAGCTCAAAGGTTAACAATCTACAAGAGCATCTATATCCCTATACCAAAGTATGGAGCAGCATCCTGGGGAAGAAAACTGCAAGGTAAAACCAAACAGACACTAGAACAAGTGCATCGAAGGGTGCATTACTGAGGACATCGAATGGGTACAGAACGGCTTCCACTCACGCTCTACAAGTGTTAATGACAGCACCCATTGACTTGGTCATAAAAGTACAAGCAAGAGGGGTTGCTACCAGGTCAACACGGCGTAGAGGAACATGACATGAATTGGCTAAGAAATACGGCCAAAAGCCAGCGCCAAACTTTTCTCAACGAATTGGCAACCGACACCTGGCAAAGCAGATGGGAAAATAGTGTCAAGGGCAGGCTTACGTATGAGTCCTTTCCCATCATTAAAGAAACAGAAAAGCAGAATTGGGTTCAACCAGATATTTGGTCCACACAAATGCTTACGGGGCAAGGAAACTAATACTGCCACATGCCAACCAGCATGGGTTCCTGAAGACGTACGACACAAGCTATTCTTCTGCCCAAACTTTGAACATCTTCAAGACCTGCGAAACAGTTTCCACAATATATGGCGTCCAGAAATGATGGAACTTGTGAAAAGCGAACGAACGAATCAGGTGTTCAAACAGTTTACACAGGGCATCCTAGCGGGTAGTAACCAAGTACCTGAATAAACGTTCCAAACCATATCGTGCGATTAAACTGTGATATATTTAAGTGTATAACTGTAGTTCAAATAATTCCGGACTGGTTACTTCTTTAAAATTAGGTTATACAGTACCTATTATTTTATGAAAGGGGGGTAACTAACAAGGGGGAGACCTATTAGATTAGGTCAGTTTAATTAATACAGAGAGAAAAAAATATATATCCCTAACCTTTTTCGTGACCCTCGTTTAGAGCGACAAATAAGGAAGGCATTAAGCTTCTATTTCCCCCATACAAGAAATTAGTTAGGTCAGTTTAGAGGCCGAGGTCCGCCGGTATGGCGGAATGGTGGATAGGGAAAAGATCATGACGATACGACAAAGCTTGTGCTTATCTCATCAATTGCAAACTGTACCTGCCATTAAGGAATTCAATTATCTGGGTTCTGCTGAGCCTGCTGTGACCTGTATGGGGATATCTAAATTCCGCGAGAGGATGGGACATACACCCAAGAAATGGATTACATCCTCTCTTTCTCTGAGGTTACAAAGAGCACCGAGGGATAACTCTATTTCTCGCCACGGAGTGTAGCTAAGAAAAAGCAACTCTTAATTAAAAAAAAAAAAAAAAACAGCTCAGCTACGTGGGCGAAAGTTCTGTATTTTTTGAATTAAGGTACGGCAAGGCCGGAGGGTACTGTAGATCTTTATACAAAAGAAAACGGCTGTCGAGACGACCGCACACTCTTCCCGGTAGCATTAGTCCATTCTTTGACGTATGACCATCAACTGGGCACACCGTTTATCCCTATCCTCGAAATGTGTAGAGATTAGTGACCGTTAATCGATAGTTATTCAGATATCGTGAGATGGGGTCGGGTGTGATGTAGGTTTCAGAAAAAACATTTTCTTTATCGTGCCAACGTTTCGACCTTTTATTGAGATCATCTTCAGGGCTCAATAAAAGATCGAAACGTTGGCACGATAAAGAAAATGTTTTTCTGAAACCTACATCTCACCCGACCGAATCTCACGATATCTGAATACCTATCCTCGAAGTTCAATCAAAACGGCATGAGTACTTTTCCGTCAAATTAACCCAGTCCTTAAACCAGAATGTTTTTTTCTTGATAACCTCAAAGTCTAGAGAACGAGAAAGGCGGGAACAGGCAGATTCAAAGTCTTGATGCAGTATTTATTTACCACGTAATTTGGTATTATAAGGGGGAGCCCAAACAACTTCTTGATGAAAAAAACGTTGAAATTTTTCCACCTAAAAAATAAATAACTAAAATCGTCTGATAAATAAAAAATTATGTAAAACTCCTTCATGCTCAGACACAAAAGGTGTCACAGTTCTCCTTTTATTTTGGTTGTTGTTAAATTCATATGGGAGAGTATTTATTGCCAATTTCCAGACTACTGCCGGTACACCTTTCCAAGGATTATTTGAGCTCGGAACATACTCTTGAAAAGGAGTACCGGCAGTGGTCCCGAAATACGATTTTGGCAATAAAAAGAAAAACAAAGAGGTTGTGAAGTTCAATAAATACCCCCTCACATGACTTAAGATAAAGGTTCCGGGTTCGAATGCAGGGCAGCTGAGAGTTCATATAACCTCGTAGTTGAAACACCCTTGTTAAAATTAAAAAAACAAAACATGGCCCGGTTTTAGTCTTATTAATGGCCGCATCGCTTTTGTTCGAAAAGTATCACCGTGAGAAATGCTATGGATGTTGACAAATTAGAAAAAAAAAGCTGGCCACCCAGAGGGTCTTAAAATTATCCTAATAAATACAATAAGGCCGAAAGGGCCTATAAAAAGCCTAAGCTCTTCAACGCCCACGTAGGCCCTCCGGGTCGAGTCGTAGAAATGAAACAAAGCTAAAATCATTTCCATCGGGTCTTTTCGTTACCGGTTTAACTTTTAATACGGGAAGAAGGGAAAAACCGTGATAGTAAATCCGTTCACGGTCACGCGAGCTATCACTCATGTGTATGTAGGTCTGAAAATTAAAAAAAAAAGGCTCACCTGGAAATCATGTCGTCCTGCTTTTTGATCCTGTTCGCCTCGGCTTGTAGTTTGAGCTGCTGCTTGTACTTCGAAAGGGCGAAGAAAAGGGCGAGGATTGACTTGAGCGAGCCCTCCCTAACTTCTTTCACAGACACGCCGTCCAAGCAGACACCGAGCTTTTCCACCAGGTTCAGGCATGAGCGGATGTTCTCGACCTGAAAGCGACAAAGGGAAAGAATTAAGAAGCGTCACTTCTTTTGAGATGAGTCGACAGACAAATTAAACCGTGGTCAACAGGGCTTTGGTTGTGACACGGACAATGAAGGCTAATTGAAGTCACTTGAGTCTGTCGCCTACCAACCTTGCTCACTTCCTCGTCTTAGACAACGTCTATTTTTAACTCAGCTCAAAGATTTATAACAAAAGTCCGTTTAATATAAACGAATTTACATTCTGTTATATTATTCATAGAAAATTTCTTGCGTCAAGAAGTCAAGAACTGTTTTAAGAACTCTGCGGTTTTCCACCCCGGCTGACAATCGGGCGAATGCCAGAAGACGTGAATATTTCAATGCGGTTTCGGCTTTATTGGGCCGATTGCCACTGTTGGCACATCAAACCGCACATCAACATCCACCATTTACCTTTTCCTTTTCAGGATTATAACTCAACACGATAAATTGTTTGGCACACAAGTATACGCTGGAAGATTTTTCATAGTGGATGTGCAGAATAGGCGTAATAAAATCTCTTTAATAAATCGTTTCGCTCAATTATGCTAAAGTTTCTATTAAATATTTATCTTGAATAATGGGTTATTTATTTTAAAATACTCTACTAGTTTCGATGCTCGATTGGTGGCACCCTTTTCAAGTGTTTCGTCGAAGATTGGATGTTTCTGTTAACTTGTATTTGTCTGATTTTTGGTGTTCATTTCCTACCAATTCGTTCCCAATAACTCACGTGCTCGATCGTTTTTTTTGCGTACCCGACGTCCTGCCTCCGCATTTCTTCTCGGGGACGCGAAAAAAAGGCTCGAGCACGTGTCGGATTGAGATATTGGGAACGAATTGGTAGGAAATGAACACCAAAAAAAGACAAATACAAGTTAACAGAAACATCTAATCTTCGACGAAACACTTGAAAAGGATGCCACCAATGGAGCATCGAAACTAGTAGTGAATTTTATAACAAATAAGGTGCTAATAAACCATTATTCAAAATAAATATATAAAATCTCTTTAATGATAAAAATATTCAATGACTCTCTCTCTCTCTCTCTCTCTCTCTCTCTCTCTCTCTCTCTCTCTCTCTATCTATCTATCTATCTATCTACATATCTATCTGCCTTTTTACCTCTCTCTCTCTCTCTCTCTCTCACTATCTATCTATCTATCTATCTATCTATCTACCTATTTGTTTAGAGCCACCATACCATTATTCAAAATAAATATATAATATCTCTTTAATGATAAAAATATTCAATAACTCTTTCTCTCTCTCCTTCATCTATCTATAGATATCTTCCCCTCTCCCACTCAAACCCTCTCTCTCTATCTCTCTCTGTCTGTATGTCTGTCTGTCTCTCTCTCTCTCTCTCTCTTTCTCTCTCTTTATCTATCTATCTACCTATCTGTTTATCTGCCTTTTTATCTCTCTCTTTATATATTTCTCTCTATCTATCTGCCTTTTATCCATTATTCAAAATAAATATATAAAATCACTTTAATGATAAAAATATTCAATAACTTTCTCTCTCTCTCTCTCTCTCTCTCTCTATTTATCTCCCTATCTGTTTATCTGCCTTTTTACCTCTCTCTCTTTATATATTTCTCTCTATCTATCTATCTATCTATCTATCTATCTATCTATATATCTNCTATATATATCTGCCTTTTAACCATTATTCAAAATAAATATATAAAATCTCTTTAATGATAAAAATATTCAATAACTCTTTCTCTCTCTCCTTCATCTATCTATAGATATCTTCCTCTCTCCCACTCTCTCTCTCTCTCTCTCTCTCTCTCTCTCTCTCTCTCTCTCTCTCTCTCTTTCTATTTATCTATCACTATCGATCTATCGATGTATCTGTACAACATAATTTTTTTAATTCTTACAAATAACTGTGATAGACATAAAAACATTTTTCGATGAACGATTGACTCCAATTATGGATTCTATGTTCAATGTTGGGCTAATTGTCGAAATGAAGTACAGATCATGAGAGAAATATTAAACTATATATGTTGTAACAATATTTCATCTATATTATAGTATATTAAAAACAATTCACCATTTTGTAATTGTCAAAAGTCTAGATCAGAGAGGGCAGAGGCGAAAATCACCGATACGTCCCTCTTTACACAAAGGTTTAACAACTTCTTCAAACAGTCCATTCCTCCAGATGTAGAGCATCGTTAAGATTAGGACAGCTCACGTCATCCCGAGTTGTAAACAACCGGTGGTTGTAAATGCGCCAGTAAACACGATATGTAAAACACGCAGGATGGCTCGTAACATGCGAATCCGTTCACGTCAAATCAAATGCCAAAAACGTTTGAAAATAAACGGTTCCCACCTGACGTTTACGTTTAAGGTAAAGAATATTTGTTTCTATCCCGTATCTTTTTATTCCCGAACTGATAACTCGTCATAGGACAAGACCTAAATGTCAAGGGTGGTTTTCGAAAGGGCGGATTCTCTGGGAAAAGGGCGGACCGCAACGACATGAATCAACCTCTAAACTATGTTTTTCTTTCAAGAAGAATAAGTAAAATCTGATATGATTACCGAAATGTTACAAGAAACATGAAAATGTGTCGAAATATGCCATATTAGTATTTACTATATTTTCAGTATTAGAAGTGTTGACCACTTTTTCATTTACAAACACTCTGAATCAAGGAAGTTTGGGAAGTTAAGGAAATTAATGTGAAATTAATATAGGGCCTGATGATGACCTTAAAATAGGTCGAAAGCTTGGCATTTGCAACTAAATTTGCATTCTTCTTCAAGACCATGCAAATGCCAAGCTTTCGACCTATTTTAAGGTCATCATCAGGCCCTACATTAATTTCACATTAATTTCCTTAACTTCCTAAACTTCCTTGATTCAGAATGTCGGAGTTCCGGATACTTCGGAGAAAATTCGAAAGTTAGGTTGCGGTGGGAAGTTGGTGTCCGAGTGGATCGAAGTCACGATAATTCATGTGGTAGAACAGCATCGTATTTAGCCGAATGCCGTGGGTTCGAATCTCGCTCGTGACACTGACTTTTTCATTTCAATCAGTACCCAGTTATTTGGTCAATCGGTTCAAGAAATATATTGGATGCAATATATGTTAAAATATAGTTCGATATATTGTATTCATCATATTGCCATATAACTCATTCTAGCAAAATATAGAATAAAATTTGCGATTCCATGGTGTTATTAATACTAATATGATTATGTTTACAAATATATTTATAGGAAGATGCGTTAGTAAAAAGTCTTTTAAGCATAGTATGAAATGCAGTGACTTATACACATGCTTAGAATATTTTTCCAGATAAAATAAGCCGGTGTTTGGCTATACAACCTGATCCGAATTCTAAAGCTGTGAAATATTTTCTGGTCTGATGTATGTTTAGCCGGGGTGAGACCACGTCCGTGAGAAACATTGATATTGATATTGATGCTTGTTTGTACATCCACTCCCCAACGTTTTTTGACTTTCTCTCATCCGCCGGGAAGGTGGTGTATTAGAATGCACCCCCGGCAATATCGCCTCGGCGCAACCCCTCAAACAACATATATTTATATAATTCCACCACCCCCGGTCCTGCAATGCCGCCCCCATCTCTGTAAATATTTCCTGAGACAAGCCCACCGGGGGCGGCAGGTAGAGCCGGAAAATAGGTACAGTTTCATCCACCCTTAATATCCTTTGAGCGCCATGGAAAAAATGGAATTGAGCCCTCAATTCATACGGATTTCCCCTTGAAATAAAAACTGTTAAAAGGACTCGTTTCTTTCCCAATTAAAAACATTTAAACTTTTTTTTTCCTTCGGAGAAAATTTATTTTCCAACTCGTCGTAATAAATTTTAAAATATACTTCTTAAAAGACGATTTTTAAAAAGATTGCCTTTCTTCCTGCCAAAATCTAATAGAAATGTTTTCCTTCTCATTCGAATTGCAAATCGACGGAAACGCACCCGAGAGTGAATCGGGTGTTGAAAAGTTTCCTTTTCCGTGTAACTCGTCCTCTCTACCGGTCTCAAATTATTCAAATCTTCTTAATATCACCCCCTGCTCGGTGCGTATGGTTTCTGAGAAATTGCGAGCTTTCTAATTACTTTTCACCTAAGCAGAAAATGTGCACATAACCGTGTTGTGGGAAAAGTTAGCGTGTATTTCATCCTGCCGGAAGGAGAAAAGGACACTAGCAAACACCATTTTCCTGTCAGTTACAGATGAATTCAGAATATTTTCCTCCTTTTTTTATTTTCTATATAAAGGATATAATTGCAAAAAATAATGCTTTCACTAATATCTATATTACCTTTTTTCAAGTAGAAAAGACTACGGTAAATCCAAAGTTCTCTAAATTTAAAAAAAAAGTTTGATCTTTTTGGGAATCCTTTTTGTCAAGTCTCAATCCCTGATCCTCGATGCCTAATATATAAATGTGAAGATTATCAAGCCATTTGGTAAAATTAAGGACGCCGTAAAACACCCCGGGCCTTCTAAAGCCCCAGGTTGAGGAAGATTGAGTGGGGATCGGCGGCGGGACAAGTACCGGTAAATAATGGCCCTACCTGGAAAGGACGTCGCACCGCGGAAACCCCGATGGAAAAGAGGATGAACCGTGATTTAGTTGCAGAAATGGCTGAAATCCGATAGGGAGAGAGAAATGAAACCTGGAGACTGCGGTCTCGTGTTGCGCCATTTGCCCAACGCGGCTGTTTTCTTCTGACGATGGCAAAAGGATATCTTTGTCTCATTCCGCGAAAAGGACGATTATTGACGTTTTCGAACCCAAATTTTAAAAAAAGAGTAATAAATTAATTCAAAATTTCCTTAAGTTTTTATTTTTATGATTATCTTTCCACCTTACCAATCCTTCAACCATGGTTTTTTCTTTCCTTCATCAATTACTTCATCTTTGAAAAAAAGTAATTAAAAAACAATTGTACCGCTAAAAAGTATATTACATGGAGTAATTTATTTTTTTATATAATTTTTTTTTAA